AAAAAAGTTAAAGAAATGCTATAGCCTCTGTGGGAAGCAGTATGTAGGCTTATCAAAAAATTAAAAAGAGAATTACCATATGACCCCGAAATTCCACTTCTGAGTATTCACCCAAAAGAATCGGAAACAGAGTCCCAAAGAACTATTTGTACACCTATGTTCATAGCAGCATTATCCATAACAGCTGAAACACAGAAGCAACCCTGCGACCATCAACTGAGGAGTGGATAAACAAAACGTGGTATGTACATGAGATGGAATATTCTTCTGGCCTAAAAAGGAAATCCTGCAATATGCTATAAACATGGATGAACCTTGAGGACATTATACTAAGTGATAGAAGCTAGTGACAAAAAAACATATAAGATCCCATTTATATGAGGTACTTAGACTAGTCGGAATCAGAAAGACAGAAGGTGTAATGGTAGTTTCCAGGGGAGAGTAGGGAATCATTGTTCAATAGGTAAAAAGTTTTGGGGCACCTGGGTGGCTCAGTGAAGTGTCTGACTCTTGATTTTGGCTCAGGTCATGATCTCAAGGTTTGTTCAAGCCCTGTGTTGGCTTCACATGATGGAAGCCCGCATAACAATAAAAATGAACGAACTACACACAGGACACCACATGGATGGATCATACCGTGTTCGATGAAAAAACAAAACACAAAGGAACATACGCAGAATGGTTCCATTTACATAAAGTTCAAAAGCAGACAAACTATCATATAAGGACACGCGCAAAGGTGATACAATTCTAAGAGAGAATAGGGGAGGGAGTAACAAAAGATGACCCCCAGTGGTTCCCAATCTCCACCCTACATTCAGTCACCTTGGGTCAGGTGGGGGAGCTTTAAAATCCACCCCAGCCTAGGCTCCCCACGTGGAGGGTCTGATCCCACAGCGTCTGCACTGCTGGCCTTGGGCTTCCCTTCCAAAGCTCCCAGGTGTTTCTAACATGAGGACAAAGTGGAAGGCGCGGCCCTAAGGTGAGGCGGGAGGGGCGGGTGCAGGCATCTGGCTTCCTTGCCGGGGGTGGGAGTCTCACAGATGTTAACTGTAGAATTTACTGTACGTTTCTTTTATGCCCTTATCTGGAGCCGTCAGCCCTCCGCTTTCTCCACAGCATACACGTAGGTGTTCCAGGGCCCACAGCTCACAGCCCTTACCTGGAGCCGCTTGTCTACGAAATACTCCACTCGGCGGGGCCGATCCAAGCTGCTCGTGTCCTTGTGGCCAAGCTGTCCGTATTTACCTAAAGTGAAACGAGCCCCTTGGCCATCCTCGCCGCTCGACCTTGGGGCTGCCCCCCTCCAGGAAGGAAATTCAGTCCATGCACCAAAGTGCTGGGTCTAATCCTCCACTCCTCTGGGGTCTGCTCTGGGAGATCAGGAGACCAGGCCACAGAGTCCTCAGGGCCAGGCGAACCCCCAGGCCCCCAAGGGGGCAGCTGCCACCAGCCATTCCGGGCAAGATGCTCTTCCGGATGGCCTGCTCTTCGCCTCAGATACTCGGAGCAGAGATTTCCGTTGGAACCTTTTTTTCTGCCCGGTGCAGACCAACAGACGGGTCATCAATGCTGCCCAACTATTCCCTTAAGACAACTTTTCAGAAAGATAAATGGGAAGTACTAACAGCGTCTCTTTCTCCTGTCTGGTCTCTGAGCTTTGGTGTGCTTGGGCCGGTTCTGGACAAGGGGATACACAGTTCAGTCCCTGACTCCCCAGTGGTCAGGCTGAGGCCCCTGCTTCCTCACGGCTGCATGGCTGTCGTCTCCCGCCCTCTCCTTCCCAGTCCCTTCCCCTCCCACTGGCTCAAGCATCACCCGAGCAAGCCCTTACTTACCCCAGCCCCAGGTGTAGAGCTCCCCCGTTCCTACAACCAGAAAGACAGGAAGGGGCTGTCACAAGGGATTTGTCTACACGGCCCACCACAACCCCCAGCCAGCACCTTGTATGTGTCACGAGCTCTGCTGGGAACAGCAAAACATACTCTCTAACGACTGTGTGATGGCACTCGGGGTGGTAAAGGACGCAGGCTGAACCAGTCTACCTTCCTTTCTGCCAGCTGAGGGGCTACATCTCACAGCTACCGAGTTCAGGAGTCTCAGAGGCTGGACTGGGCAGGCCCTGCTCTCAGACAAAGGAGGCCAAAACTAGCCTCCCTCTAGGAGGGGGGACCTTCGGGGCCTGCCGGCTGGGGACCTACTGCTGACACCCCGCGGGGGCTGGGGCCGCAGTCACTGAAGTGAGGCAGCTACTCAGCACTCGTCAAAGACCCTGAAAATAGCAGTGTTTAAGGTGATCACACTCTTTCCCGGAGCGGGTGTGGGACCGGGAAGAGGGACTTCCTGCTCCATTGTGACCCAGCCCGCCCAGCCCCACTCACTGGTCACCACCGCTGTGTGCCGGGATCCACAGCTGGCCTTGACTGCATCTGTGCCCGGGGGGAGATCCAGTAAAGCGGGGAAGGGCTGGATGGCTATGAAGGGGGCCAGGCCTCCACTCTCACCCTCGGCTGTCCTCACGTCACAACCGTCTTCCTTCAGTCCACTGGCTTCAGGGAAGCAGGGAGCGTGATGAGGATAATGGCGGTTCACAGGGAGCACGGACCTACCCCTTACCCACACGTTAGCTCCTCTGGCACAAAAGCGCCACGGAGCACCTTCTGTCCACCCCCCGCACTCCCGGGACGTGCTGGGCCCGACAGGTCCGCAGGGAGTGTGGTGTTGACGCACCAGCCTCACCACTCTCCCGTCCCTAGGGGCCAAGGGTCCTGCAGCGGGGCCTGGGGTCCCACGTTGTCATGTGTCCCTTCTGAGCACCGTGGGGTCTCAGGCCAGCACGTGGCCAGGAGTCGGGACTGACAGAAACACACATAGAACTGACGCTCACCTTCCCCTGCAGCGGTCTTGCCAACTTCTGCCAGGCTCCTGCTGGGCAGGGCCAGCTGTCCGGATTCGTTCCAGCCCCAGATATAAATATCGCCAGTCTCTGAAAAAGAGATAAAGGGGACCCATCAAATAGACTGTAAACCCCCCACAACCTCCAAGGACCCCTGAATCCATCCAAACTCCCTCGTACCCTCTAGCTC